CCCCCCCCCCACAAATAAAAATAATATATCCTTCATTTCTAAAAACAGATAGACATGCAAAACCAACATCAGGTTACTCCACAGCATTTAGGAATTAAATTCCACACATTGTTTCACAAAAACAACAAGTATTACAGGACATCAAACCTTTTTCATTATTCAAGTTCTCATACTTTTCTCATACTTCCCCATTCTCATGAAAATAAAAGTATATTGATATCTGAAAATCAAGCAAAGATTAAAATGTGTTGTCGTCTTTGAATGCAAACTGTGTCTGATCCATTGTTCCTCTCATTATGGAGGCTCCGGTTTTAGGGACTCTGTGTTGATTTTTCTCTGCCATGTCTTTTTGTGGAAAACAGCTGAAGTTCTCAGGGCTTCAGTAACAACCATCTTTCCAGGCCTCGTCAGCGACGGGAGCGCACGGTTTGGTCATTCCCAGAGATCTGCTACGGAGACACAGTAACCTCAGTCCCACAGAGCTTTCTCAATGGCTACCACTGCAGTCTATCTGGGGTGCGTCTCCCAAAAGCATCGTTAGCCAACTATGGTCGCACGTTCCGTCGTTACCAACATAGTTCAACGATTCGGTGTTTCCCGAAACCATAGTTCAAACGAACATTCGCCAACAGCATCGCAAACTTACGCGGTTGAACTACAAGTCTCGAGCTGTGGTTAGAAGCATAGATTCTTGTTAGTAAGACATATGGACTTCAATAAATTCTGCTCTTGGGCACAATAAGCAAGATAACATGCAGTACGATCTACACTAACGGTCAAAAGTTTGGGATCAGAGCGATTTTTAATGTGTTTCACAGGAGTTTCTTCTGCTCATCAAGGCTGCATTTATTTGATCAGAAATACAGGAAAAAATGTAATATTGTGAAATATTATTATGATGTAAAATAAAGTTTTTCTATTTTAATATACATTAAAATATAATTTATTTCTGTGATGCGCAGCTGTATTTTCAGCATCATTACTGCAGTCTTCAGTGTCTCATGATCTTCAGAAATCACTCTAATAAGCTGATTTATTATCAGAGCTGGAAACTGTTGCTGCTTCATGTTTTTTTGGAACCTGTGATACTTTTTTCAGGATTCTTTGGTGAATGAAACGTTAAAAATAAGAGCATTTCTTTAAAATAGAAATCTTTTCTAACAATATAAAGACACTTCTTTAAAAAACATTAGTAAATTAGTCATCAGGTGCCATGTTCAATACAGCAGCATCTTAGAGATGTCTAATCGGATAAATAGCAGAAGTTATGACGTCATTAGTCAATGGCCCTATGTTGTTGAACTAATGTGGTTCAAACGACGGAGATGCGACGGTGTTCGGGAAACAGTCGTGACTCGCTAGTTCGTGGTTAATGTTAATGAGCGAGTTGCGTCGCTGTACGGGAAACGCACCCCTGGCTGATCTCGACTCACCTCCTGGGCGTCTGTGGAAGTCTGCCTCTGGATGAAGGTGAAGCGGGTGTCAAGCCTCTTCCTGGCGTTTGCCGGGCGACAGCAGCGGAGTATGACACCCCGTTGTTGGGCCCGGGCGACTGCAACCTCCTCAGCCCTCCCTGGGCACTCGCTGGCCCTTTGGCCTGCTGTCGCAGCGCAGACATCGAGCTGACGGGGCTCAGGGCTTTCATGGGAGTCCGCAGATAGAGAGGGGACTGGCCATCAGCCCTCATCCTCGCAGATGATACACCTACAAGAGCAGCCAATCACAAACACTCCTGTCAAGTCCACAGCAATTACATTAATAGTGAAAATATACAAGACGATGTGTTTTACCCAACGGTCTAAATTTTACAAAACGCGCAAGAGACTTTCACACTGACAAAAATCCAAGAAACGGGTTCAGAATCACAAGCCATTATTCTGCCCAGGCAAGCAGAAACCTGGCCCTTATTTTTAAAGACATGTGCAGAACGATCCTAAATGGGTTTCCCAAACGCTCCTACAAATGATTTTGAAAATGTTCGTGAATGCATCCCTTTTTTGCAGTTATCTTAAATTGAAGCGCAACCATCTACAGAACACCCACAAAAATCCCTAATAGTTCAGAAGTACAGCACTGGGCAAGAAAACCAAGAGAGACACTTTTGGAAAATGTGTATATATGTGTGTGTGTGTGTGCGTGCGTGTGTCTGTGTGTGTGTGCATGTCTGTGTGTGCGTGTCTGTGTGTGCGTGTCTGTGTCTGTGTGTGTCTGTGTGTGTGTGTTAGAGAGAGAGAGAGAGAGAGAGAGATATTCCAGGAATTCACAAACATAATGATCTAATTCAGTGATGCAATTATGACAAAGCAGTTAATATGATTTGTGCCTTTAATAAATGCATATTTAACATGATTCTGTACATTTCGATTTCAATAATGTTGACTTATTTTAATTTAATGGTATGAGCGCAAACAGTTTGTAAAAGTTTTCTTCCGTGATGTGAAAAAGAACATTTTCACATCAGTTTTTTCCTTTAGTAAACCTTGATCTGTTCCTCACTTTTGACCTGGACCATTGGAGGGAAACGTTGAGCTGGAAGATGTCTTGGTTATGCCATCTGATGAACAAGCTTCTGGCCAAGGCAACAGTCTCAAAGCGAGTGACTGAAGACGACATTCCCTGAGAAAAACCTTGGATAACAGAGGTTTGTAGGGACATTAAACGTCTTAATACCAAACAGGTCTCATCTACTCACTAGTCCACTTTTAGGAGTTTAAAGGCCGAAGTATACTTCTGTTTTTACGCATACGCGAAGGGTGCATGTACAGTGTGCGTAACACAAATAAGTATGTGCATTCTGTATGCGCACCATCCCATTTTTGTAACTGTGCGTAGTTTGTACGCACAGGTCACACATGCGCATTGCTTTGGTTTTGCACTAATCAGTTGTTCCACAAGGTGGCAGCACTGGCCCGGGCCGATATTTCACAGTAGAAAATGAAACAAAAAAGACAGAACAACAACAACAACAACAAAACAGCGGAGACTGCAACAACAACAGATGACTGCGCATTGACAAACGCTTGTGTGAGAGTTATGAGAGAGCCACAACTATAGTTTAAATGAGTACAAGGACATTTTCATCGGTTATAACTTCTGGACAAAAACAGAGCAGACGCTGGAATAAGATGCCGCTTTCTAGAGCGCATGTGTCGACCACCTGGATTCACGTACACCTCAAATGGTCTATACTTTGAAAGGCTACGTGTACGACTGTGCGCGTACACTAACGTACACTTAAAAAAAAATGACGTATACTTGGGCCTTAATGCTGGTGACACTGAAGTCATGTGACTCTGGTGTTCTTTTATAGCCTACATTTAGCATTTGTACTTCTGGCAATTGTACTTAGGCTTCAAAATACATAAAAGTTGTGCTCATTTGTGAATAGGGCTGGGTAAAAAAAATATTGATTTCTTGATTTTAATCGATTGTCATTTTTACGAAACAATATCGATTCTTAAATCCCAAGAATCGCTTAGTCTAGCCTGTTTACAGTTAGCGAACGGAACATTGTAGCACACCTCCCATACAATAAATCGCATTTTAATTCGCAAAGCTTTACGATGTTACTTTTGATATGAAAAAGTCTCAGATTTCACATTCTTACCATTTTATTACAGTATTCAAACAATAAATGCTATTTTGGAGCTTATTAATGTGGAGCGAAAGATCGCTGTAGCGCCTCAGGTGCACGTGAACTGATCATCTCCGCTTTAATGCAGTTACAGCACAAAATAAACATGAAAGAATATCTGAAGGTATGATAAAAGAAAGACTACAACTTGCTGAAATCCGTAGCCTGTCTCATGTAATCGCTCAATCAGTGTTTCAACCGACGTCAATGTAACAGCTTGTAAACATGTCATGTAACGTCACATTTACCTCAGAAAAAAACATATTCTGTGACCATAAACTCATTAGTCAGATAGAGAAATGAACTCTAGAGAGGAGCATTTTGCTAAATATATGCACCATATAATATAAACTATAATTTTTACTGTTCTTCAATGTTTATGTTTGAATAAATCTGTCATGTTTTTATGACAGCCATCATTTAAATGTTTAAACGAATTGGAGTAGAAATATAATTATTATGGCTGGTAAGCGATTAAAATTTTGAATCTAATTAATTACATGATGTGGCGATTAATTATTAGACAAATTAATTGCACATCAAATTTGGCTGAGAAATTACTCCCAAAAGATAAAGTCATTGTTGTGTAAAGCATCAAAACAGACATTACAAAAAAGTAGCTTCAGCAAGAAATATTTTGTTTGATAAAATGTATTACATATATTATTTTAGACCATGAGGGTGAGTAAATGATGACACAATTGTAATTTTTGGGTGGGTGAACTATACAATTAATAACTTATTTTATTAATTTTATTATTTTTACTATGGAAATTATTTCTTTAATGAAATGATACTCTAAATAATAAACTAAAACTGCCAGTAGGTGGTGGTAAATGTCTTAATGATTAAGTCATCGAGTCGAATCATCGAATCGCTCTCGCGGTACTTTGATGTCACACATCGATCGATCTGTGCAGCGCCACTTCAAATCCAACGTGCCAAATGATTCACCCAATTCATTCAAAACGTGCATTAAGAAATGAAATGCTGCTGTGTGTTGCTCGGAGGTTTTGTCTTTATATTTTCGTTGGCAAAATTTAGCAAAACAGACAACATTGTGTCTAAAATAACACAATATTAACTTCTTACTTACTGAACTGTTGTATAAGATCAGTATCGCATTTGCACTTGTGTGATATTGCTTAAAGGTGGGGTAAGCGATTTTTCAAAAACGCTTTAGAAAACTGATTCGGGCCGAGTAGCAAAACAAACTTGTAGCCAATCAGCAGTAAGGCAACAGCTAAAGTCTGTCTAGTACACTGGACGTGACAAAGCGACCGTTGAAAATCATTTGAAATTTGTGTTAATACGTCATGAATAGAACGCAGCAGCAGTTTTCTGTCGGGGATTTGTCGTGCCGCGCCGCATCCAGTGCAGACCATAGATATGTATATATATCTCTGGTGTAGACAGCATCACTGATTATAATGGGTTCTACAGTAATATTTTTTTGTGCCGCACCACTCGCATCCGGTGTAGACACGGTGTAACATTGGTTTTGCTTTGTTTCACAGAACTAATCGTTGCCTGGGTTGCGTATACGTATTATACTATTATAGATCAGTGGGCGAGACCCTTTTGGGGTAGGGGCGTGTTTGTTTTTGTGATTTCAAATGTCAACATTGGCTACCAGAAATCGCTTACCCCACCTTTAACTATATGATGTAAACTTGAGACAAAAACTCAAACAGATGCATTTTTGCCCCATATCTTGAATTTTAGGGATATTCTAACTGTTCTCTAGGCTTCATCACGCAGTAAGTTGTTGCTCTGCCTCATATTTGTCATCAATCAACTGTATGAAATGTCAGATGACCCACATAGGTCTGGGGCGGGGCAAGTGCGTTAAATGCGTTAATTTTAACGCGTTATTTTACCGTAATTAATTAATCTAATTAACGTGTTAAATTACCAGACCTGATAATTATGTAATGTTTACTATTATAAAAAATTTCATTGAGTGTAATTTAAGTATTTTTATATAAATCAGTTAATTTTAACCTTTAATATTATAGTAATGTAGTGCCAACTGACTCTCGTGTATATTTTACAGTATTAGTTTAGAGATTTTTTTTTTCTTGAAAAATTTTGGCATGTACTGTACCTGACATATCCAGAATAATCTACATTGAATTGAATCTAAACGAAAATCGAATTGAAAGCTTGTAAGTCAGAATCGAATCATGAAATCTGTGTCAAAACCCAGCCCTATTTGTGAAGATTATGCTGAACATGTGAGAATCATTAATTTTTGTTGTTTTGCATATCAGGATGAACTAAACACTGGATTTTCAGAAGCATGGGAATGTCATGGCACAGACTCTTGACGGCCGAAGACAATGTTATTGTGGGTCTGTTATTGTAGGGACATGTACTTTACATTTTCAAACCCCAAAAAATGACGCTGAACAAAACTGTGATTGGCTGTGACATGTCTGTCAGACGGCTGAAAGCTGCGATTGAGTCCAGACCCTCCTGCTGTCAATCTGAATGTCCGGCTACACACGACTTGTGTGACAGTGACACTAACTTCTGAGCTAGCCTACAATAATCCATCATCGCTGCAGGCTCTATTAAAGACATGATAGAGTGGCTCAAACTGCCACTACCGATTCAACAGGTTTTAGGAACAGACTAACGGCGTGAGAGAGAGAGGACGGATGGGACAGGAGGAGAAACTGACCCAGCAGTGTATTGTCAGTTCAGCAATGGTTTAGAGTGAGGGAGTGATCAGACAGAAACCTTCACCCCTCTTCAGTCCTCAGGACCATGATGATGTGCCTTTAAAGGGATACTTCACCCAAAAATTTAAATTCTGTCATTAATTACTCGCCCTCATGTTGTTCCAAACCCGTAAGACCTTCATGTTCGGAAAACAAATTAAGATATTTTTGATGAAATCCGAGAGCTCTCAAAGATCCTGCATAGACAGCAACACAACTGCAATGTTCCCAGGTCCAAAAACGTATGGACAACGTTAAAACAGTCCATGTGTCATCAGGGGTTCAACCGTAATGTTATGAAGCCACAAGAATACTTTTTGTGTGAATGAAGTCATTATTTTTTGTTTTCTTTGCGCTGAGCTCCTCTGAAACCACACACACGGCCTGCTTAACACACTCACAACACTCGCATGCACAGTCCTCTCCTCTCCAGGTGAGTGCAATCAACCACTGGTGAGTGCAATCAGCATTAAAGGGGTCGTATCATGCAAGGTCCACCTATAAGCTTTAGCCTTTATCCAGAGCCTTCATGACTTCTGAACATCTCTTCATATGTGACATTAGTAACAGTGCTTTGTTGCGAGCTGCAGCTTTGCTGTCAGATCAGTCAATAACAGCATCTTCGCAAAGTTGTGCTTTTGTGCTGAAATGTGCCGCTCGAGGTGTCAAGATCAGACTGAAGTGATCAGGGACTTTCTTTCAGCTTCATTTTATCATTAGTTCTTCTAGTATTTAGTAGAGGTGTAACGGTACACGTATTGAGTACCAAATATTTTCAGTACGGGTCTTTTGGTTCGGTACGCATGAGTGCCGAACAAATACAGTGTAGCTTTAGCCACTGCACAAGTGGAAATTCATTGGAAACTTTCAGTTTTATATATTGTTACTTTTGATAAGAAACAAAGTCTCATCTTTCAAATTCAAACATTTTTTGAGTTTTTGAGTTTTGGCGCTCTTTGATGTGGCGAGACGGATCGCTGTATAAACGCCTCAGTCCCAACAGCAGCGTGATCATCCCTTCATCTCTAGGGCTGTGCAATTAATCGAAATACGGTTTCGATTTTGATTTCAGCCTCCGACGATTATGAAATTACAATAATCGAGATAAAACGATTATTGCGCCCCATTCCGCCCCCTTCCTTGCGATTTCACTCCTCCATAAAAGCCCAATTTCACGTGCAAATCAGTAAAATCATGTAACCTAACTTGCGAAATGTGACGTGCCTGATTTATTAATGTTGATTAGATTTATTCATGTTTTTGAAAGTGCAAACTTGCGCTGTCCCTCGGGAGGATTACTGTTTATGCGCTCAGAGACGGAACAGAACACGTACTGTAAAGTCAACTTTTAGCTAAATGGTCAAATGCACGCAAAAATGTGTCAAAATGCCGCGCTTAGTGATTATTCACATAAACCCTCATCGGTTATGTAATAAACGTAAACAGTTGAGAATGAAAATACGAATCGTTCTCAATATTAAAGAATAGCAGAGTCCACACCACAGCTATAACGATAAAGACAAAGAGAAACGATATCATCTAGAACGATTTTTTTTCAGCTGATAAACGATAAAAACATTGACAGCCAATCAGATTAAATCTTACTATCACGAGCTCGAGAATTTAAAGAGGCAGACGAGACGAGCGTGCGCTTAGAATAAACTGACGATATCGTCCGCTGGTGTGGACGCTAATATAGTTATCTTTATAGTTATTGTTCTTGGTGTAAACGGGGCTTAACAGTAAATAGGATCCATGCGGCTCTTAAAGTGACATCAGGCTTTATTCCTGCT